ATGGATTACGTCAACTGATGATTTATATGGACTACAAGACATAAGAGTTGGAATATTCCCATTTTCAACAACCGGTTAAAGCACTGAAACAAATTGTTTCAAAATAATAGACAAAATTCGTAACTATGTCTCGAAGAATGTAAAAATGAAACCATTGAAATCACTGATCATGCACACTAGCAACTTGTAATTTGTTTTTAACACAAATTATATAGTAATAATTCGGATGTCTGTCTTCTCAAATGTTAATCTGTTTGTAAGAAAAACACTGGCGTGTTAGAATATTTTTTTATGTAGTGTATAATATGAAAAGAAATCAATATTTCAAGAATCTTGCGTTTCTGCAATGTTAGGTTGCAACAAACCTAATAATATTTGTGGTAAAAATCACGTAAACTTCAGATCACATTCCTCTCAGTTTGTTCATTTCGGATTAAAAGTCAGAGGAGTGCATCACAAAATTTTCGGCTTATTAGATTTCTAATACTCCTCCAGCTTTCAACATATAAACCATAACTTTTAATGTTAGCTCTTCTTTTGGTTCATGCGTATGCATATTCTTCTGTTAGAGATGAATGAGACTTCAGTGTTGTGTAATGTAAGTCTTATTTTTATTCCTATCTGTTATCAAAGAAAAAAAATCAATATTTTGTTTTTTAACCTATGTTGAACAATTATTTTATGAAAGAGTACAAGACTTTACTGAAAGCTTTTATTAAAAGTTTTAAACCAGAGATCTCCCACCCAACTTACATTAAAGTAAAATTTTAGAATTTTTTAAGTTTATTTATAGCTATGTGACGTGTGTTAATAAAGAAAACCATCCAATCATAATACAAATATAGCTAACGTCCAACTACTTTTGAACAAACGTGGTGGTGGTTAATTTGATAATGTGTATTTTAAAATTATCAAAGCGTATTATCATTTAAGAAAACAATAATCCGCTATAAAAGCAGTCACCTATTTCCATCTTTCATTAACATTTTATTGATACCAGTTTGGAATGATATAATGTATTATTTCTTTGTGGCTTAAATTATTAGTGTTATATGTCACTAATTCACCTCGAAATTAAAATTACACGATCCTGACACTTATTTAATTAGTTATGATATTGTTTCTTTATACAAGCAAATTCCTGTCCATGAAGCTGGAAAATTAGCTCTAGAATGTAACACTAATGACACAAACCTTTGAAATAATATTTGAAACAAAGATTTGTATGATCTATTTATCCTTGGACCACTTATTCTAAATTCCATTTCAGTAACTTAAGTAATGAAAAATATTAGAATTAGGGATTGGAAACCCAATTTAGGCTGTAATATCTAATTTACTCATAATAACAATTGACACTATCGTCTTATATTCATCATTAAAATCACCACAATACCAGTTCTGGCTATGCTATGTGGATCAAAGAAACGGAAACCAGTGAAATTTGTATCATATTAATAATATCCATCCCTAGATAAAAATTTACCAAAGAAACCAAGCGTAATCAACAACTTTCCTTACTTAATGTTCAAGTAACAAGAAGTAACATATTCACCACTTCGGTTTACCGTAAACCCACCACAACTAACTTAATTCTCTCATGATCACTCACATAAACATTGATATTTTAACAGAGCGTTATTACAATGTTAAATGTTACGTGTAGTAACAATAAAAATTTACGAGATGAAATTTAATATCTCTGTCCTGGTTTTATTCATGACAGACAGCTCTTATCCACAAGCTGTTATACAATTTTTACATCCTAAGTTAACATGTAAAACCGACTCCAATAGAATATCATGCCATATATACATAAAGTTTCCCTAGCTATAAAACAAGCTTGACTTAACACTGCAGAATCCTATCGTTTAAATCAACCCCATAAGGTTTACTTAGAAACCTTGTAAAACTTTCATCCTGATATTTACACGATAACTCAAATGGCACAGTTTGTTGGCATGTTTTTGAACATCACAACATTGAAATACATAATGCTAAATAATTATCAGACTATTCATCATGAACCAATGAAAATTAAAAGGAAAATTAAAGAGATCCTTATAATCAAACTATTTCGTCCTTCTAATATTCTGGTGTCCCACTTTGCATTTTTGAACATTTTGACAGTGTCACCTATTTTAATTATATATATTCGTCTTGTCCTGATAATGCCGGGTTAACAGCAGTGATAGGTTGACATATTTTAATTGTTTTTAATGTCCAGTTTTTAGTTGTTTGTACCTTATTTATTACTTCCAGAACCTCAATACCTCAGGAATGTTGAGCTGCAAATTACAGTGTTCCCGAATCTATTACTAAAGAATTTTTCAGTTCAGTAAAACGTTTCCCTCTCCATTATGTTTATGATGTCATCTTCTACTCTCCAATTTTAAAAGTAGGAAACTTATTACGTTGATATCTTTCTTTTTTCTTTCTCACTAGTATTTCCCATCAATCAATTTATTTATTTTTTGTAAAAAAAATCAGATACGGAATTATCAGTGATCAATTTCGATTGTGTCGTATTTACGTACTTTGCAAATCTTTTTTAATTCTAATTTTTCAATACAAAATATGGAATGTGTAATATCAGTACTTCGAATCTTCCGATGGCTCATCGGTAAGTCTGAGAGCTTATAACGTTCAAAATCGGGTTTCGATACCAGAGGTGGACAAAGTACAGATAGCCTATAGTGTAGCTTTGAGCTTAACAACGAAACAAACAATTGAAATTTGAAATAACACTCACAGTTTAATATTACAGAAGAAATGGCACTGAATGCAACATAAGTGTAAATCTCGACATAATAAGGTGTCTCTCTAAATTGAACAATATTAAAAGTTAATTAATAAACATTTGTTCTCTTTCCATCACATTTGCGCCTCTAATTGAATCGTGTATTGTATTATACGCAACTAACTTATTGATTATCCAGTTCTATTTACTATTAGATCATTCGTATCATAACAGTGGATTCACAAGACTGAATTCTTAGTAATATAAATGTTTATTTATATCAGTTTGTTTATTTTGTTGTTGTTAAGAACAAAACTGCGCAAAGGCTATCTGTGTTGCGCCCACCACGAGTATTGAATCGATGTGTTTAGCGTTATAAGTCGTCAGATGTATGCTGAGCCACTCGGGGTGGGAGGAGGCGTCTGTGTCAGAAGAATTTTAAGAAACACTGTAAGAGAAACACTCAATCATAAAATAACTTTACCATTTTTTACTTTGGCATTGCAGAATCATAGCTATTTTTTACAGGCCTGTTCTTATAAAATTGTATTTTACGTAACTGTTGACTAGTCTCGACTTTGTATTTCGTAGCGTACGTAACACATTTGCCTCACCATAGATTTCGGATACATGTTTGCAGATGTCACGAAAACGTTGGGACTTTTTGGACGTTTAACAAAATGTCCATATTTTTTGAGTGCTTTTTCTGAAGCGTGCGACTGTCTCTCTCAGATATATATATATATCATAACAAATGCATAAAATTATTCTATGTCCAATGGCCAGTCAAGAATAGTTTGGAAACACACACAAAAAACACGAATCAGGATGTACATACTCTGTATACATACAAATGACACTTGTAATTTGAGTACTTAGACAAATAACTTCTCAAAAAGAAAGGTATTAACTTGTTGAAAATATAAAACATTAAGTTCTTCGTTTAGACAGTACTGGATTTTAGAAACGTCATTTGATTTATATCTCACTTAATCAGTAGAATCTGTATTATTTGATTGTCTCTGATCGGTGATATTTATTAAGAGTGAGGCAAATGTATCTTCAAGACAAAGACAGGACCCTGAGTGTCATTAATAATAACTTCTGATCAAAGCAAGTTCCCTGAATAGATCAGAACTAAAACGCAACTCAGCAACGAATATGGGTAATTTTAAATATTGTTCGTACGCTAACTGTTAGTGATATTTTTATGTTATATTGGATGAAATAAAATGATAACAAATAGTAGATGCGAGACCTCTAGTTGCCACCACGACTTTATATGAGGTTTCTTGAAAATTAGAGGTTTACAACGTAATTTTACTCTGTTAGTTCACGGTAACTGTTGTGCCGATGTAGCCTTTCTTGTCTAATTAAAGTGTTTGTGTGTTCATCTAAGTCCGTCCCCCAGTGGCACAGCGGTATGTCTGCGGACTTACAACGTTAGAATCCGGGTTTCGATACCCATAGTGGGCAAAGCCCATTGTGTAGCTTTGTGTTTAATTACAAACAAACAATCATCTCAGTCCAAATATGAGTAAAATTAGCGCTCCAACGTGACTGTTCCGTCAAAAGAAGAAACGAGGAAATTCAAAACATAACAAAAGTTGATAAAACTTAAAAACTTAGATTTTTTTTTTTACTACATGAAACGTGTCATTCTTCTGTACAGGTATATCAATTTACGAAACATGTTCCCCATCTTATAAGTTATTTCATTTATCGATATTAACTTGAAATCAGGTGATGTGAGTTAATCCGTCAAGGGTTTAGTCATAGAAATGATGAATGTATTGTATCTGTCATAAGCCTGAATGCAAGACGTCATCACCCAAAATTTCATGGAAGCTTGTAAAGGAAAAGTTTTGTTATGTTAACTCTATGGTTAATATGACGACAATATTAGGTTCTTCCTTATAGTATATTAACGCGTTCGATAATCAAGATTTAGTAAGTTTTACTCTAGCATTAACCCTATAAATAATTCGATTAGGCTGGGATGTTACCATTTTTTGTTTTGTTTTTTGAGACCATTGACCAGCATTTTTATTTTTACAGTCCCGTAAAATTGCCATATGTTCTACAGTATTACATTTTCAACTAAACTGCCGTCGTAACTTTGACTGGCCATTTCACAATTATCGTTTCTGCAATGAAAATCAGATCTACGACAGGATATATAGCAAACAATTAGCGTTTATGTGTCTCTTAAATTAGGTATACTATCTTCTTTCATTAATGCTACTTTCAATATATATATATATATATATATATTGTTCTTATTTTTTTATTTTAAATTTTTATTATAAAAGTTATTTTTCATTGCTAGTTAAATATGTGTATTTAAGACTAGCCTAAAGCTATTTTGAGATATTGGTGGGTTTACGGCCGAATATGTAGCTAACTGCGAGAGTGCACCACTGATAAAACAATACGTTTAAATACTTATATTAAGGTCAATATATTAATTAACTGTACTTATCACCAGATTAATTACTAAATAATATTAATCACCAACTCTTCCCTTCTTCACCAAATATTTCTTTTTCAGTGGAGCAAATTGTTGTGGGTCATTATTCCACTCAAATTCACTACAGGGTCTGTCACTCATTATGTCTTTGTGTCAAAACACGATAATATTGTTCTACAGTTATTCTTCATAGTACCATCAACTAACACAATATTTCCCCACCTACAATAAAAACAAACAAACAAAAAAGTATTTACGGGATTTTTTAGACCAAACACGTTTTTTTTCATGATTTTACCATTCGTTCTTTCGTATTTATTTCATTTTTAATCCTTTGCCGAGTTTAAATGCTTCATCATGTTTACATGTAAAACGTAATGCTTTTTTTGGGGGGCTGCAAATTCTTGTTGTAGACAGCTTTTTTTTCAATTGCTTTCGAAAAGTATATTTCTGATTTTAATAACTTTATATCCCTATTAATCCAATGATTTCTGAAAATGTTTTGAACCAATTTGATGTTGAAATTAATTGAATAACAAAATTCTCCCAACTAGATGTTTTCTTGGAAATATTTTTCTTATTAGTACATTTTAAAATGGTAACTGCAATTGGTTTGTTGGTTGTTTGTTATTTTATGGCGCAAAGCAACGAGGCTATCTGCGCCAAACAACCGGTAATAACAGGGAAAGTAAATTAGAGAAAAATGTAAAAATACAGCGAGTTAAAACCAAAATATGTCCAAAATTTGGATAAAAGATTTAGATACAATCAAAAAGGTCAATAGTGCGTAAAAAATACAATCAAGTCGAACAGTGTCACCATTGCCAATGACATTGTCCAACGTCAGGGGTAAACTCTTACAAAACACGTGTCTAATATGTTGCCGCCGCTCACGCTCGTAACGACGGCACGACAGTAAAATGTAGGCTATTGTGACTTGAGTGTCACAATGGCTACACATCGGTGGGTCAATACCTGATAAAAGAAAACGATGAATTAAAAAACAGTGACCAATGCGTAGCTTTGCCAGAACAACTTCCTCCTTCCGATCCTTACGAAAGCAAGACGACCAAAGACCAACAGAAGGTTTGATCTGAAAAGCTTGTTATGACGTTGCTCACCCCAAGTCGACTGCCAACTGGCACGAGGCCGCGTCTTGAAGACAGGACCGTAGTCCATGTACGGGACAGGCACGGCCGTGACGGCACCAGAGCAGATGAACTTAGCTGTGGTGTCAGCGAGCTCGTTCACGTGAATACCGACGTAGCCAGGGATCCAGAAAAACTGGATGGAAACAGAAGATGGAGAAAAATGGGCCAGTCGATGTTGAATATCGAGAGAACAGGTTGAGAACTAAAGCGATTCCAGGGCCAGTAGAGAGCTAAGAGAATCAGCGTAAATAGTACAATTACTGTACTGCATAGCTTCTACATGATCCAGGGCAAGAGAAATAGCATACAACTTGCGATTCCAGGGCCAGTGGAGAGCTAAGAGAATCAGTGTAAATAGTACAATTACTGTACTGCATAGCTTCTACATGATCCAGGGCAAGAGAAATAGCAGACAACTTGGCAGTGAACAAAGAAACTGTAGAGGGGATCCTGCGAGCAACTACCAAGCCACAGCAAACCATGGCAGAACCTACAGAGATTCACCCGATTTCGAACCATCCGTGTATATGGGAAAAGAAGAATGGCTCGAAAGATGTTCAGCAAAAAGAAGATGGTACTTCCAATCGGGAGTATCTGCCTTCCCCACATGACTCAAGGAAAGGTCACAGGATGGAATGGTAATAAGCCATGGTGGAATGGGCTGATCACTGGGGACAGCAATGTCATCCAATGCCAGACCTAAGTGAGCTAGTTGTGCCCGGATACGAAGGCCAAAGGCAGGAATTGCAGACCATCTGTTCTGAAAGAGCATGGTCCACCGAGGAAGAAAGACACAATCCCAGGTGGGATGCCATGGTAAGGATCGAAGCTTGGTAGCATATTGTAAAGAAAGTTGCAAATGACGGAGGTGAAGATGAGGTTCGTCGGACTCAGTATACAAACTCTGGACTGGAGAAGTGCAAAAGCCCCAGTGCAGAGCTGAAGCCCCAAATGGTGAATGGGGTCCAGCATCTTTAAAGCTGAGGTCCTAGCAGAACCATAGACCAAAGACCCATAGTCCAGTTTGGATCAAATCAGAGCGCAATAGATCCTGATCACAGAACATTGATCTGCTCCCCAAGAGCTGAAAGAGAAGACATGGAGGATGTAGCTGCTGGATGTGTGGAATGAAGCTAAGCTTACAGTCAAAGATAAGCCCAAGAACTTTGCCTCAGGGACCACACAAATAACTATATCACCAAGACGGAGCTCGAGATTGGGGTGGAAACCCCATTGGCTGCAAAAATGCATGCAAACTGTTTTGATAAAAGAAAATGTAAAACCGTTTGCAGTGGTCCATGTCAACAACCAATTGAGGGAAGTCTGAAGCTGCCACTCAATAAACCACATTTTCGACAACTGACATAAGATATGGAAATCGTCGACATAGAGCCCATTTGCAACAGTTGGAGCAAGATTAGTAGTGATAGCATTAATTTTAACACTAAAAAGTGTGACATCCAAGACACAGCCCTGAGGAACTCCAAGTTACCGTGGAAAGGAACGGGAAAGAATTGGACCCACACGGACCTGGAATCGCCTGTTCAGTAAAAACTTTTGAATAAAAATGGGTAAATGACCATGCAACCCATAGGAGTGGAGGTTCTGCAAAATGTCATACCTCCACGTAGTGTCATATACCTTCTCGAGCTCAAAGAACACAGAAACAAGGTGTTTTCTCTTGAGTAAGGCTTCCCTGATCGCTGTTTTAATTCGAATCAGATGGTCCATGGTGGAGCACTGTCGACGGAATCCACACTGGGTAGGCGAGAGGAGTGTGTTTGATTTGAGGAACCAAGACGAGCATTAACCATCCTCTCTAAAACCTTACAAAGACAAGTAGTCAAAGCGATGGGACAATAATTAGAAGGAATCTTGGGATCCTTTCCAGGTTTAGAGAAAGGGAGGACAATAGCCTGGCGCCAAGCATCAGGAAAAATGACTCCTGCCAGATAACCGGTTAAAAAC